CATCGAATGACTGCTCTCGCCTAGGTGAGGCGGGAGGGAGTGTCAGACTCTTACTGACTAAAAACCACCCCGTTCCTTCTCATGTACGTCGAGCCGGGGAGCCCCGGTAACCCGTTAGGTTCTCCGCGACTCCAAATCGGCATCAGCCCTGTTGGGCCCCATCCTTGGTGGTCTGATGGCTCTTTGAAGCGCGCGCGGAACGCGACGCGCCGTACGCTCGGGTCTGTTTCTGGTCGGACGGGGAGCCACCCATTCTAGCCGTCCGCAGGCCCGCGCTAACGGTGGCCGGAGATCGTACAATTTTGACATTAGGGTGCTCCCATACAGCGGTTGTATACCTCTAATCTTATACCACATTGTGTAACACGATAACATTTTGTAACATACTTTACAACATGTCAAGTTACTACTTACTACAAGTTTTGTTATAATTTTTCAGTTTATTGAATACAACAACTATACAAGAGAAGCTACTTTGTTTGAACTAAATGAAAATAAATATAACTTAAAATATAAATAACTATGAACTAAAATAATTTGATTAAAAACTAGCTGTGCCCGCGACTTCCTCCGCGTGGAATAGTGATTCACAGCTCCTCCGCTGTACATGATAACATGATAATATGTAGCCTATATATTGAACCGACCTGTTAGTACTATTAAACTACTAGTAAATCCATACAGTATTTTTTGAGTTTAACCCGGACATACATAGAGACAAAAGCACAAAAATTCTTATAACCATATTTTTGGCTTCGATGTCTATTGCACATCACGCGTCAACCTTTTTTTAAAAAAAAATATTCAACGTCAAGTTTTCACTTTCCTTCTATTTTATTATATGTATAGATAAGTGTTAAGTCAGTCTCTAACGTCATATAATTGCTGTGTGGTAACACTTTTAGACAATTATGTCAAGCACAGTCATTAATGGCTTCTCTTTTCATTCGGTTTAGATACCATTTGTTTATAAAGAGTTAGTGATATTTAAGTGGAAAATGTAAATTTAAATAGGTACCTATGGATTCTGGGATCTATCATTTAAGCCTGCTTCTACGTAAACCATTAAATGAACCCCACCAACACCATTCATTGTAGCAATTACCTATTGAATTTGTAAATGAATCAGGTGATTAATAAAAAAATGTTTTCCTTTAAAGCCATAGACAAGCGTCAGTCAGTTATTTATGGCGGGATTAAAAGCGGGAACGGTCGGCCAATATGGCTACCGACGAGCGTTAAGCCGATGATTTAAATACAACCCACCGATTCGCTAAAACGCGAAACGCAATTAATCATATTTTAGCCGCCTTTAGAAATACTAGAGGATTGAAAGGACCTATTAAAAGATTGTAAAAAAGGCCGAGTAAAAGGCTTTTGCTTTGGAATATAAAACATTTTGTATAGATTTTATCTTGGACGTGCCGGTGTGCCGGCCTAGTTTCCACCGCTTGCAATGTCTATACTTGTTACACTTATGTGATTGTATTCGCGGATAGTCGACGTACGCGGACAGATAGTGCGGCAAATGTAAAATGGGATTTGTTTAAAATGTGTACATCTACGATATTTTGACTATACGTTGTGAGGCAGAGTAGGAGTAAGGAAGGAAGGTAAACGAAAATGGTATTAGAGTTTCCATATTGAATGAAAATGTTCTAGATTATTAACATAACAAATGTCTCATTGGGTACTTTCAACGCCTCTCATGCTATGATAACACCATCGGCTACATTGGTTGCTACGAATATAATATAATAACAATAATATAGTACTCTTTTTTTAAGGGTTGAAAATCATCGAATGACTGCTCCCGCCTGGGTGAGGCGGGAGGGAGTGTCAGACTCTTACTGACTAAAAACCACCCCGTTCCTTCTCCTGCACGTCGAGTTGGAGCCCCGGTTACCCGTTAGGTTCTCCGCGACAATAATATACTAGTACTATATTAGTAGTACTACTATACTAGTAGTAGTAGACAATAATATAGTAGTACTATATTATTGTTACGCTGTTATGCATACTACATTGCTACGCGTACTACATTGCGACGCGCGCTACATCGCTACGCACGCATCATTGCTACGAGCGCTACATTGCTACGCTCGCTACATTGCTTAGTTGGTAGCGCTTTATGATGTCTCTAGTTTCTTTTTTAATCGACTTCCTAAAAAAGGAAGAGGTTCTCAATTCGTTTGTATGTTTTTGTTTTGTGTACGTTATTATTGTTTACCAAAAGTACTTTCGTCTTTGCTTTTCTTTTCGTCTTTATATTGCAACGACAGTTATCAACTAGACCTACAGTTCTTTGCCTAAATAGTATTTTCCTAATAATTTGACAAGCAGGACTTTTCATACTACACACAATACATCAACTATCATTCACGTATCCACAATTTGACATGCAGTAACCAATAGCAAGAACTAAATGTACCTATAGTGGATAATCGCAATCACTTATTCGAGCAGTCGACTAGTTGCAAGTGAACAATACCGATTGATATGCACATCACTATCGAAATCGGTATGTTCCGATTCATATTCGGAATCGACTTAAGCTATCGAGCCAAGTTGCATATTGTAAGGACTCAAAGGCTTGCGATATCTCTGAGGCCAATATGCTTAACAATAGTGACGTAGATATACTACGCCTGGATAAATATCTTTATCGAAGTGCATTTTAAAATTATTTGCCAATAAAACGACTGTTGTAGTTAGGTTCGTTCGAGTTATCTTACGGTTTAACGTCATTTTATATTTTTTGTTTTTATATTATGTTTCTTTGACGGTGTTACATTGTACAGTGGCATTAAGTGCCATAATGTGCACCTCTGCCTACCACTCCGTGGATAAAAGGCGTGATGTTATGTTATATTTATTACAATTTTAATGTAAATCATTTTCATACTTATATTATTATATAGTCTTACTGATGTCCCTGCTGTAGAAGGGTATCTTCCATTGAATATAACTCTGTGTGGCTAAGGCAACAGAGCAGTCGACAATGGGTACCGCTCTCAAGGGGCACGTACCACAGATATTATAATTAAGGTTCACTAATACCAAGCCTTGTGTTACAATAAATTATGTTTTGTGGCCTCAGACGCCAATATTTCTGTTAGTACATAATGTTTGTACCTCTATATGAGTAAAGATTGTTTATGTTTTTTTATTTTTAGAACTATGGATACTTTTATGTCATGTCGTGGTAGTGGTGGTTTAAGACGCTCTCTTCTATCAATGTGACTATTTCCGAGTTATATGTACTTTCTAAGATTATGTCGATACTTATAGTTATAATTTCTAATTATAAGTTTGAAATCGCCAACCCGAATTGAGAAACCGTGGTTATTAATGCTCAAATCTTCTTTGTGTGAAAGAGGTCTTTGGTCAGCAGTGGTCGTTTATAAGCTGTTGATGATGATGATGATGATACTTTTATTCTTAAACATTTTTTTTTTAATAACGTAGCCCCACACTAGGATTTTCTCCTGTGTCGTGGGTGCGTTTACAAACATACAAGTTCACATACACAATGACACCCAGACCCGAAACAACAATTTGTGGATCACACAAAGTGTTGTCCCGTGCGGGAATCGAACCCGCGGCACGTTGCACGGCAGCCGGTTGCCCAGCCACCGCACCAACCGTGCAGTTAAATTGTTGATTATAACTATTATCACACAAAGAAATATTTAATTCAAGAATAGGAGGCAAACGAGCAGACGGATCACCTACCTAATGGTAAGCGATCAGCGCCGCCCATGGACACCCGCAACACCAGAGGAGTCACAGGTGCGTTGCCGGCCTTTTAAAAAGGAGTACGCTCTTTTCTTGAAGGTTTGAAGGTTTGTTTTATGAAAAGAAAACTTGTTTTTTCCACCTTCTGTCGGCGTCTTTCGGGAGCGATCCGTCTACACCATAGAACATATATAAAGAAGATCTACACCAACCAACACATAGCATTTTAAATGCTAGTTAATCAAGTGAATAGCAAAAGGCCTGTGAAGGTAATTGACACTATCATTAGGTAATTTATGACAGTGATTATTGATCATATCGATGTTTGCCAAAAGCTTAAGTTGAGATCGAGACTTTAATTCTCTTTACTAGTACGATTTACGCCTGACTATTGAGCTACACAGTTTTAAGTTTTACTGAAATATTGTGCCATCTCTGTCATTTTACAGAGAAATTGTTGAGACAGAAGTATATTTAAGCGCGATTTAAAATTGAGAAGCCTTTGAGTATTTGGACATTACACATTTTGAGTTAAGTTTACGATTGGTTGTTTTTATTTCGGCCATTGAACTGTTTCTCAATCATGCTGTTATTTACAGATATATCTACGTTACCGTTTTTTAAGAGTGGAAAATCATCGAATGAGTTCTCCCGCCTGGGTGAGGCGCGTGGAAGTGTCAGACTCTTACTGACTAAAAACTACCCCGTTTCTACTCCTGGTTTTCGAGCCGGAACCCGGCAACCCGTTAAGTCCTCCGCGGCTCCGTATCGGCATCAGCCCTATCGGGCCCCATCTGTGGTGGTCTAATGGCTCTTTGAGGCGCGCGCGGAACGCGACGCGCCGTATGCTCGGGTCTGGTTCTGGTCGGACGGCGAGCCACCTATGCTCGCCGGCCGCAGTTCCAACCTACGTTACCGTTACGTATGAATTTGGCAGATTTTTATTAAAAACAATATATGAATGTACTCGTACGAATACCTAATAAATAGAAAGTGAATACTTTTAAAACCTTTCCGTATCGAGTTGTATCAACGTCAAACGGCTCAATTCGTTATAGCTATCAAATATAAAGCCTGCTGGATATATCAGATATTCCACACGACACTGAGTTATCTTCTTTTAAAAATATTTATATTTTTCTACTTACCAACCTGTAATTCTGCTGTGACGTGCCATATTTGTCAAAATGTATCTAGAACTATCTAGATTGGTCTAGACAAAAAAAAGACAGCATTACAAGGAAATAAAGAAAACAAATTAGTTATGGGTCTCACATAAATTTATTTCTCCATATACATATGTATAATTTTGCGAATCCACTGTGTCCCGAGACGCAGCGCGGGAATTTTTACAAAATAATTGTCGTCTACAAACTTCTACATTACATTCACACATCGCCCCGCCAGCCATATTGCGTCCGCCATTTTAATTGCACTAAAATATGTCATTAAAGCTAGGGCTTTACATAATTGATATTTCGTTCTTAGCAACAAAACACGTTACGCTAAATGGCGAGTCGTCACAATCTTTGTACTCGTTACAATGCAAGAAAATAAGCAATTCATCATTCGATTCGGGGCACTGTTGATCGGACAAAAAAAAATTAGGCGCGAACTCTTCGCGCCGAAAATTTTATATATTTTTGGAGATCGAGTTAATTAAAAAAGTTTCGTAATTGAGTGACGGATCCATTAGGCACATTATATTTCCTCGACTTCATTTTTTAAATGTCACATTGGAAATATTTAAGTACTTGGGTCAAACGACCATTTCATATTTAACATGACTTAACATGAGCTTCCAAGCAACAATACCCACACTGGCAAGCGAACAGTGTTCATTAAATGTAAACATAAACATCACAATGAATCGGCATCCATATACAAAAACAATTAACAACAAAGAATTCCATGGTGAAAACTACATTGAAAATACACAAATAAAAATTAAGAACACATAAAAATTAGTTGGTAAAATCAGTCTTAACATACCGAACATAGGGTATCAACGATGATTTTATTAGTGAGACATGCGCGCGTGTAAAAACAACCATTTGTACTAAATAATGGAATAGACAGCACCTTAATATGGCATTACAATATTACTAAATCATTGAACACAGTACTGCGTAACTGTACGAAAATAATTCAATTATTGCTCATTATTTGGTTAAGAAAATATTCTTAAAAATAAGATAAAATTACTGGTGATTTACAAAAATGATTTGATATTTTTAATCTGTGGTAGTTACGCGGTACTGCAAAGGTTATTCGACATAAAATATTCCTAGTGGCAGAATGATACAATACCTAAGCCTAACAATGCAATACGAAAAACTGTACAAGAGATCGTCATGTGCGTTCGGAAACGTTTACAAATGATTGAAATGAAAAAAAAAAGTTAAATATATAGGTAAGAGGAATGATAATAACGATTAAAATGACTGGTTTTGGTACAGATTATTATTTTTCAATTAATTTACGCAGCGATTCTAATATTTAAAGCATGTTGAACAAGCCACCATGCTCTCTAGCGTGTAAATGTTCGAACCTTGCTATACACGATTCATCAACGAGTATTAAATTTTCACTATAACCTCAATTTAACAATTACTCTCATTAACTCTACGTACGTTTCGTATTTTATTGTATTCTTTATTTTATTCTTTATTATAGCTAAGTGAAACGATTGGCAGTTACGAATGTCAGCGGCCGATTACCCGACCGAGTTCATACGTACTTACATTAAGTTTAATTCCTTTAGATATGAGCCACACTTGAATTGTTCGCATATCTACGTATAACGTTTGGAAAACTGCTTCAAATTTTATAATCCCTAGTTTCATACAAGCTCAAATTTAACTTATACGTAGGTAGATCGATATAAGTAGGTATATTGTACAAAACGAGTGAAAAACGTAAAAATCTTATACATTTACTATGCAAGGAGATTACGGTAAAAGATTAAATAACATACTACACTTAAAGATAGCTTAAAATAGTGTTACAGAGTCGTGGCAGTCACGTTTGAGTCACTCGAACTGTCCTCCTCGTCCATTATTTCCCCACGTTTTTAATGAGAAGCATAAATTAAGGGAAGAATAAAGTTCAAGGAAAGAAAATTCTTGACATTATTTTTAGCAAAAGAGAAATGTAAAAAATTTCCCCTCCTCTTTAGTACTTTGGAACTCTCCATGCATTTATCAGTGTCCACTGTTCATACCTAACATCTTACAGTTTTACGATCCAAATAGGTACAATTGAATCGTCATGCTTACCTCTATATCATTACCACACCAAAACATATTTATCTAACTACATATAGATATGTCATCGAATCACGATCATCCTCTAGAAGCAAGCAAGTGATTGTTCAAATAAAGAGAAACTTCAAGTAAAGTTACGTCTTCGAAAAGCTAACTATTCTATTGTCTCTTTGTATCGCAAATAAAAAAAAAATCTGGCTACTAACATTTTTAGCATAGCGTTAGACCGTGGCTTATTTTAATGATACTTCATTTAAAATTTACACAATAAATTGTTTGTTCGACTAAACTCAAGCTAAAATATATAAACTAACGTATGCTAAATATGTCGCTGGCCGCATTTTAATGTCCGTCAACATGATTGGCTGGTTTAATTGGGCAAGTTTAAAATTACAACGTAAGCAACACAAAATTATGTTGGACATTACAAATATTTACATAACATTATGCACTACGCACAGGACAGACACAAAATTTCACACGACACAGCCGATTCGTCTAAAAGTTCATATAATAGGTATTGCAATAATGAAACGTGTTACCACAATTTACACTACTTAACATATTTTTAACACCCGATATGAAAAATAAACTTCTAATTACAGCTGCAATAACTATTTATACATTTTACAATATTATGTTTGTATATATGTTGTGACGATCAGAATTGAATATCATATATCGCATAAAGTTATCATTTAAGTCTCTAAGCGCACTGTTCATTCACTAATGTTACGTTATATTTGATCGCAAATTATATATTCACGGCGTAACCATTACACTGATCATTAAATACATCTCAAAACTCTTTCGTAATATAAATGCATCTAAGTATAATTCAACTGTTTATATGGACTTTAACATTTTAACTGTTCCGATTTAGAGACAAAAATAGCACGAACAGCTGGGTAAGTCAGGAGCATACTTAGTTACGTCAAGTTATGTCTGCACTTTATAACCATCGCATCGTAAACGCTTTATACAACCGAACTAACATCACGTATCATAAGAATTTACGACTCATCATGAATATAGAGAACTTGAGAACTTTTATACAGTACTCAGTCGTGTCAACATCGTAAACAGTCCCAACGTGTACTGAATATGCTCCCGACTTGTACTCTATCATAAGTTAGATAATAGGATAATAATTAATTATATTTATTACCCTTCCGACTCACAATCATGATTTTTAGTGGTCACAATCGTAAAATACATCATAAGTAGCGTTCCTAGGCACTCATACATGTTTAGCCTCTTATACGAAGTTGAAAATGACAGTCAGTCGATGTCACGGGTACATCACTACTATATTAGGGTCATATTCAGCGCGGGACTCTGTCGTTAGATATTTATAATCTGTGACGACGACAGAACAAAGAAGTATTGCATTTTTTATCTGTGGTTGGCGGGAAATTGTGGAAAATGATGACAACTATTTTTTGACTAGTTCGTAATGTGAGATTGAGTTTAGATGTAAGTTCTATGGTATTTAATATTATTATTGTCTTCATTTTATGGCGGTGTAGATAAGAACGTGTGCTGTACATAAGAAGTTGATAACATCGATCAAATATGTAATCACTTAATTTAATTCAGATTAACTTTTGAAAATGAAATAAGACAAATCATTGTTTTTGACGAGACAAAATATTCTAAAAAACCTTTTTACAGAAATTAGGTACCCGAAATACAGTGACAATACTTCTTTGTTCAAAATCCGATCATATAGTTAAGTACATACGTCATGTTTCCGCGCGACAGTGTCCCCTAGAGCGCGTTTAGACGAGTATGTCTCATCGTCAGTTGGCGTAGTGGTCGAAGGAGCCGAGGTATTCCAGTGCAGCGCGGTAGCAGAATTCGTATTGATCCTGTTGAAAATAATTTAAATTAGAATGATGTTTAAAAATACGACTTCGAATTTAATTGAAGCCTGGCTGTTCATAAGTGGTTACTGATTTTTATTTTAGGAGTTTTCCAAAGCATCAACTTCTAGAAATTCTTTTTAATCGTCAATTTTTTGTACATTTACAAAGCAAGAAGGGGCTTAGTATAACATTTAGTTAGGTGGAATGCATGCACGCTTCCTTGTCAACACCTCTGCGACCCACTTCTGGCCGACAGGTTGCAAACATAAATCAACGTGTACTGCGTTCAACGTAAAACAGTAATTATGCTATTATAATTAAGGTGCTATTTATAAAATAGGCTATTTTGTGTAAGGGAATGTTTTAGGTTTAGAGGGTTTTTGTGAGTCAAGTGGAATAAAGTCAAAGGAGTCGTGGAATCGTGAAGGATAGAGCAGTTTTTGCTGAAGAAATATACAGTGGTAAATTGAAATGATCTATTATCAGTAGGTTTTTTTTTAATGGGGGTAAATCATCGAATGACTTCTCCCGCCTGGGTGAGGCGGGAGGGTGTGTCAGACTCTTACTGACTAAAAACCACCCCGTTCCTACTCCTGCACTTCGAGCCGGAGCCCCGGTAACCCGTCAGGTTCTCCGCGGCTCTGTATCGGCATCAGCCCTATCGGGCCCCATCTGTGGTGGTCTGATGACTCTTTGGGGAAGTACGCTCGGGAATATTGGTAGGTATCGTATTATCAGAGAAGAGAATGAGGTTCTCATAACATAAAAAAAGGTATTCCAATTCTTGCTCTTCTTTTTTTTTTAAACTTTACCTCAACTGGCTTCGGGTTTTGCCCCTTTACTTATATTATAGGCAAAGGTATCATGGCAGATTTTAGATCTTACTTTCGTTATAGAAAGACCAGGCCATATGAAAAACCTAGCCGCTGGTGTACACAAAGGATATAATTATGTTATGTAGATATCAACCAATTTTTACATAAATTAAAAATCGCGGGTTACTAACGTGAATATATTGAGAAAACTCTAATAGTTTCGAGCCACAGAGGGGCTCTTCCTCTTGTCAAATGTCGCGCAGCCAATGTCGTGAGTAACCCGTGATTTTTAGTTAATTTAGTATGTCTCACGATAGTTATTATAAAATCGACGTGTACATACCTCAGTCTGCACCATGGCGGGGCGCTGCGTGCGCAGCGTGCGCACCGTCTGGAACACGTCGACGACGCCCTCGTACTGCATGCGCTCCAACACCGTCGACAGCGTGATGAACACGCCCGTGCGACCCACTCCCGCGCTATGGACAGAATATCATTGATACATATTGTTGGAAAAGATGGCTAATAAAAGAAAAATATAATTAGTATTCTTTATATTACCGGGTGTTCGATTCCCACATGGAGTAACTCTTTGTGTGATCCACAAATTGTTGTTCCGGATCTGGGTGTCATGTGTATGTGAACTTGTATGTTTGAAAACGCACCCACGACACAGGAGAAAATCATAGTGTGGGGGAATTAATTTTATTGTTTAAAAAATAGATGAATAGGTGAGCCAATTACCATTGAACGCCGAAAAAATAGTATGCACCCAGAAAACGATCTCTGCTTTGTTAGGCAATTAGCAACCGCACTTTCAAATAAACGTTGCAGTTAAATAATTAACTAATCGTAGTCCTTAACCCGTCGTGTGTCTCAACGTGGATCCACGCGGGACACAATGTATTTTCTATAGTGTCTCTTACGTCTAGTTTCTATAACCTATCTATCTGTAGATTTGCTTACTAGAGATAGAATTTTGACACATTTAGTATGGAGCTCATGTTAAAATTCTATCTCTAGTAAGCAAATCTACAGATAGATAGGTTATATAAATTGGACGTTGAGACTGGCATTCAAGCAGTTAACGTCATTTCCATAGTTGTCAGTTACAAAACAGATCTAAAAACCCTAAAAAATGTAACATCTAATCCAAGTATAACATTTTTAAAGTTACTTCTAAGGATAACGCGAGTTGTTCTCACCTGCAATGTACAGTGATGGGACCGTCCTGTCCGAATTGTTCTTTAGTCTTGTGCACTTGTCCTAGGAAGTCGATGAAGCCTTCTCCACTCTTCGGTACTCCTTGTTCTGGCCAATCAGTGAACTGGAATTGACGGACCGTCCTCGAAGATCCATCGCGAGCGTCCGTGACCTACAATAAAATGTATTTATTAGGTTTGTGTCACGTTAAAATATGTAATGTTTCTGATATATTTTCACGTGAGCTGTAAAGTATAAATAAAAAATAATAATAATATTTAAATAATCACGGCTTTTATTTTCATTGGAGAATGGCAAGAATTGCAAAAGATTATTTCATGTTACACGGTAGTTCATTGTCATACACTAGGCACGATTCTAGAATACGTGCTATTTAACAATTTCGAAAACAAAAATCTCAATAAGACTTTACTCGACCCTGTAATTTAATCAAAGACCTCTTGCTTGATTTATTCGTCGAAGTTACGGTTGCAACCGCAACAAACAAGAAAAAAAAGATATTTTTATTAAAAAAAAAACACTTTCACAAGAAAAGCAAATGACACCAGCACTAAGTCCACAATGTTCAAAGTTCAGTAACAAGGTATTGGAAAACTGAAAGTTAGATCCATAAAGTTTTATCAGATATTCAAGAATTTCAATTTGTTTGTGAATACGTACCTTGAATTCCCTCAAGATGTACTGGGGCATGTTATACTCAGCGATCGGGTCCACGACGAAACATTGGTAGCGTACCGAACGGTCCGACGGCCAATATTGGTGACATTTTTCCTAAGAAATACATAAAATTGTAAACAAACTTTCAATATAGATGATAAAAATATACATAGAATAATACTTACTCGGCCCATCTCCTTCAATTTAGTTAACATAACGATGATTGTGGAATTGTGTTCCCATAACATTCTCCAGAAATCGTCAGTCGTGTCCGGCAAAGGTCCCTGAGTAGCGATATAAGCTGCTCGGTACCTATACCCGTCTACAAACGACGCGTTAATGTAGTCAGATCCATCACGGGGAGTCAGACACACTCGGGTCGACTCATACGGCAGGATGTGCACCAATCTGTTCTTATGCTTATTGCAAGGTAGACTAGCGGACACAAACCGACTGGAGTCAGCTTTCATGTTAGCCAACTTCTTGAATTCCAATTCCATTCCAGTAATATTCTCAATAGGATCCACGCGCATCAGCTTTTGAATGTGTGCGTGCAAATTGCGAGCCGGAACCTCAGTGTCACCGCAAATTACAGCTTCTAGCAAAGCGTCGTGTATGAAAATATATTGGTCCTCCGTCTGCACCATGTAGTTGCGTTGAGCTCGCAAACAAGTCACATGGCCGTAGATATCAACAGTGCGCTCATGGCGAGCTCTCTCTAACATAGAATCGATAACAATGAAGCAGCCCGTGCGGCCAACTCCAGCTGAGCAATGCACGACTAATGGACCAGCATCAGGCGGGTTCAGAGCCCGCACTCGTCGCAAGAATTGAAGGAACGGTGCAGGATGATCAGGAACTCCATGGTCTGGCCAAGCAGTGAACTGTAATTGTTTGATTTCACGACGCTCGCTGCTGTTGCCATTCCGTTCCACTTGGAAGGTTCGGATGCAATAGGTAGCGAGTTCCTGAACTTCTGCGATAGTAACAGTCATCATACCATAAGTCTCAGTTCCCCTGCTGGGCCAGTACTGGTCGCATTTGATTCTTGTTCTCTCTTCTAGCTTAGTCATCATGACGATAGTCGAAGTGCGGAGTTCCCAACACATCCTCCAGAAATCAGCCAGAGTTTCTTGAAGAGGACCTTGAGTAGCTACGTAAGCGTTGTGTTTCCGGTAGCCATCGCAATAGTTGGCGTTGATGTAATCACTTCCGAGTATTCCATCTATTGGCTGAAGGATTACGCGGCTGTGGTCATAGGCTATGACATTAGCATAACGGTTCTTGGGTTTATTGACTTCCATGTTTGAATGATCCCAAGTGAACTGCTGGCCGGGTTCAATACTTTCATATTCTTGGGAGAACTTGAGGTTGTCATTGGTTTTAAGTCTTTCGATATGTTCCGACAGTTCCAAAATAGGAATAGGAGGATGGGAAATCATAGCCGGCGTTTGGAAGTTCAATCTCCTCATTTCAACGGGATCGGATGGTGCTCCGAATCCAACATCTGCCGACATTAAAGGCCTTGTCACCGCTGCCTGGTCGGGAGCCTTGCAGGGTTGGCGTCTTCTCTTGAATATGAACAAGACTACCAAACAAAGTGAGAGCATCAACGCGGCAATGATTGGCCCGATAACCCATACCATGCCCGCTTCTTTCCTATTCTCTTCTATTCTTATTTCAGGGTCCCCATGTATATCTTTAGGATCAGGCCTACTAGGTTCTTCACCAGGAGGTGCTTCACGCATATCTAGCGACAAATATTCTGAAAATGGACTGGACGTATATAAATGCTTTTGAGGAGTATCTACAACCGCACGGACGAATACTCGATACTTTTTACTAGGATTCAATTTCCTGTTCAAAAAGCCTTCATACATTTCATCATTACCGAGATGGAATGTATAGAGAATATTTCGTTGTAAGAATTTGGCAGCAATGTACGGTGCATTTTCATCATCTGTTCGAACATTATTTTTAATTAAATCGTCTGTTAGGAACTGATCCGGATGCTTATGATTATGAGCTTTATCATCAGGCACTACAACTAGATAATAATGCGATATGGGTCCATATTCTTCAGACGCTTGAGGTAGAATGACGAGTATTTCATTTTCAACAACGCCATAGAAGTCTGGCTTCACCATCGGCTTCGGTGCTGCCATCTGCGTAGTGACGGTGATCTTCGTCGGCGGTCGGTACGAATCGTCATTAGGTATGGCACTTACATTAACACTATACGTTGTGAACGGAGACAGATCATTTATCGAATACGATGTTCTATCATGTTTCACAATGATTTCCCTTCTTGGTATTTCTTGCGTTTGCGTCATACCAAGAGAGTCAACAAATTCTTTAATCGCATTGTAGGAAATCTTATAACTAACGGGGTTTAAGCGTAACGGAGGCGACCATGACAACGTCATGGAATGAGTGGACACATCTTGAGCCCGAAGGTGTAAAGGCACTTCTTCTGGTCTGACCTTCACAGTAACCTTTTCGGATAACCTTCCAAGACCATCTGCCGTTCTGGCAGCAACAGCGACAGCATATTCTGCGAACTTTTCCAAATTATCCAAATCAGCAGAATGTGTAACGTGAACGGTTTTCTGTTGCCATTCATCTAGATCCTCGACTGGCGTCATTGTATAGAATATGACGTAACCAATGATCTTCTTTCTAGAACGGAATGTTTCCCACCAAACTTCTACACTAGATTCTGAAGTTGCAACGGCTTTAACTGACATGGGCGCTCTACCGATGTCCCTTTCAGTGTGAGCTGTCATGTCTTTACTGTACGGGCCAGCCCCTTGATCAGTGTATGCTCTAACTTTGAACACATAATGCGCATCTTCTTCCAAACCAGTAAATACAGCTTTGGTTAATTCTGTCGTTTTCTCAGCAACTGACGATTGATCTCCTCTCTTGAAAAACTGGACATCATATTTCTTTATCTGCCCGCTTCTGTCAGCACGGATTGGAGGTTCCCACGTGATACTAATGATGTCGGGTGTTTGGAAGCGGTACGTAACATTCGTCGGAGGCCCTTTGGGAGCACCTTCAGGTGTGAGCCAATATTTGATTGTCTCTTGACCTATTCCGATGTGGTTTTTACCTGCTACTCTATACTCGTACTGGACACCTCTTTCTAAATCATTTATTTTATACGAATGTATTTTAGTACCAGGGAAATTTACTTCTTCCAGAGGTTGATCTTTTACACCATATCTCAACCTATACCCGAGTAAATCGCCGTATGTTTGAGATGGCTTGCTCCATTCCAGTTCTATTGATACGACGGGCTCCCTTTCCAAAACCCTGCAAAGGAAATAGCGGTTCGTTACAGCTGTTCAAAATGTCGTCAGAACGTAATATGATTCGATAAATAATTTCGACTCACTTCAGGTTGACGGTAGGCCTGTTTGGCACACCGCCAGGCGTCTTCACAGACACCGGCGTACTTCGGTCACCGTCCCCCTTCCTCGTCAGAGCAGCCACTTGCACGTTGTACCGCGTATCCGGTTGGAGCCCCGATACGTTCAATTCGAGAGTCGTGTCGTCCATTACGTTGAACCGCATTGGGTCGTTAAGAAGTCCTTTGCCCTATAGAAATAAAATGTTGATTTCAGATTTCAGACGAAATTAAAATTGAAGAAAAAAGAAATAAATATGAGGTTGTGTATTTACTACTTACCTCGTCTCGTACTTCTTGCACATGGACGTGGTACCCTCGGATAATCCCGTTTTTCTCTTTTTCCTGTGGGGGCTTCCATGTTACATGGATAGACGTGGAGTTGATGGCAACGACCTTCACGTCCTGGGGCTCTCCGGGTACTGTGAGCACACAAGGTATATGTGAGATATCTGAGCCGTACCTGTTTGCAAGTCGACCTAAACTGCCCTATCAGCATCTACGGGAGCGTGCTACAAAAATCTACCTAAAGCGACTCTCAAGGGTCTATAAATTGGAATTAAGCTTCGGCGTCAAAGGCTTGTCAGTTAAGCGCTGCAAAATTCAGTTATTGAACGTAGTATTGTTAACGAGTGCGGTCGGTATCGCCGTCGTTGATGCTGATAGAGCATTTTTGGTCGTGGCGAGTGTCTACACACGCCAGTCAGCATCTCGATCGGGCATTTTAGCCCTTACGCCCTAGCACATAGCCTTAGCATTTACGCCCTTTCACATCACCATAACCAATTAAAATCCATTACCTTCCAATCCACATCGTATAGAACAACTAAAATCGTCAAGCATTTACAAAGAGTCAACATTTAGTAAGTATTTTATCTATAAGTTTCCAAAGCAGCGTTTCTATGACTAAAATCCTTAATTCACACACTGCAAGGGATCATGCTTCGGAGCGTCAAGACTTGGGGATATAAATTCAAAATTAAATCACAGAAAAAAGATGCACACCAAGTCTTCGGAAATCATCAAAAATGTCGTCTACGAAGACATGCTTTCAGAGGTAACCGCTTGCAGTTTGTTTCAAAGTAGTTAGATTAAGGAGCTAGGAAGATTATCTACTTGAAGCTTTAGGCACAAGCACAAACGCACATCGAAACAAGCACTATAGTAATTGGTACTCACTCCTTATAGCTGTACGGGTTACCAGCGGCCCATACAAAGTCAGTGACGAGAGAAAAAAGAGAAAAACGCATTCAAATACATTTAAGACAAATTGTGCGAACATTGCAGGGCGAACGGAACTACTAAGTGAGAGATTACGAGTAGAACGCTTGTCGGCGAAATGGGGGGCACTCTTATTTTATTTCCTCGTGTATTTTGAGCTCTTTAGGAGGCGCATTCGGTTTAAGCCGCTTGGGACGCCGGTCTAGGTTCGCGTGCATTGCCTTTTTCCGTCCGTGACGCGGGGCAAACGGGAATGGAAATTTTTATTTCATGAATAGAGTGAAAATGTATGAAGTTTTCTTCTCAATAAGGACGTTTTTCCGTGCAGCGGAGCTTACATAAATATTAAACGACGTTTATAATTGTTTTAGGCGACAGAAAAAGGCAACGCGCAAACATCCAGAAATTGTTCGTCGTCCGTCGGTGCAGAGAAGTCACTCACACGCACATGTATTGATTAACGCGACGGCGCCAGTCTATGTGTGTGTGTGCTTCTATTGTGTAGTTCTGTCAATGTGCGCCTTCGTACCTTCTGTGTGTGTGATGGCTCGACCCTCGTGTATCCTCTGTGATGTTTGTATCAGTGTCAGAGTGTCCATTGGCTGTGCTCTTCAAAAACTCGTCTGATTGTGTCAAACAAATTCTGATCTTGTACTTAACAGGAGTGATTGATGTCTGGTATATCACGCAGCGTTCTTAGAGCCCCGCCCGTTCGTTGTTTACGGCAATAGCGAACGTTAGGCATAATAGTATTTTGTATTATGTCACAATATCTAGTGTGCATGCACGACGAAAGTCTGATAGAGTATACAGAAGAAAGAAGAGAGGCGAGAGTGAAATTGCTACTGCAAAGAAGTTGTAGCACAAGAGCAAGTGAGATAGATAGAGAGATAGAGATAGGAAGAGAAGTAGCGCGTAGTCTAGTAACCGAGCTGAGCAGTCGGGGAGTACAGGCGAAGAGTGTCGCGGACCTATCCCTGGGATCCGACGCGAGGGTAACCAATCGGGTGCATCGGTAGGCACAAGTAGAAATTTAGACGGTGGATCCTCGGGACGAGGCTTCGACCCGCAGCCTTCCCGCTAATAGTAGATAGTAGTCAGGACAGTACAGTGAGTAAAGAAGTAGTAATTGTGAGTAGTTCAGTAGCATGCGCGCGTGTCGTGTGGGGACGGTATTGGTATTCAAATGCGGCGCTCGGGCCGTGGTGCGTGTTGAGCGGTCCGCATGGCGCACTGCCCGCCCAGCGCGCTCGCTGCGTGGCCAGCGCTGCGCCGCGGGCGCCGCCGCCGCTGTGACTGGCAGCGCTCGCGGCGCAATGCAGCGCGTGGCATGCTGGGCGGCGCAGTGGCCATGTCGTGGTGTGACGCACTCGCTCTCTCACCTCGTGTCGTCGCTAGTGGTGCTGAGTGAATCCTAAAAGTGCAGTATTTACCTCACGCAATCCGCAACACATATTGCAACAGTAATTGCGTGCAGTAAATCATGAAACCTATCTGGTGCCCAGTGAAAACTTAATTGAACGAAAAACGGTGCGGTGTCGGTAAAGAAAGCATGCAAAATTGTGTCCATTGCTAAATACTCAACAACTGTGCGCCAAAATCAATAATATAACGGTGCCGTCGACACTATACCAGGTGCATTATAAACTTTGCATTTCAGTGAGTGCCATCTTAACGAGACGATGACGAATCATGTGACGCGTCACCAAAAGAAATCATTACATGTGACAAGTGAGTGGAAATGTCAACTCTATGCCGCTGTGCACAGCGACTATAATACAGTGAAAACCAAATGATCGTCTGTGACATGATTAAAGATATACAAGTAAATATTATCGGCAAGCATAGTAATACTTTTGTTACGAGAACTGAACCTCCTTGTTTAGAATCCTGCTATGTGCTCACAAAAAAGAAACAAAAGAAAAAATGACATTAGTATATTTGTAGTATTGTAGCGCATCGAGTCTGCTAATGTGAATATGAACTATTCCGTCATGGTATTAATGATTCATTTCAAATAGCCCACCACCAATGTTACCACCACTTTACATATCAGAACACATCACAGTCAAAACGGAACTGTGTCCGACAAACGAAAATATCAGAAATATTCGAGTGCAATACACATCTCATTAAATCCCACAGTTCCATTTCCACTGTAGTAAATTAAATTACATTATAAAATCATTCATATTCATATTATAAAACTTTCTGTGAAAGTATCAATGCAATCAAATATTACATAGCATTTTGTGATATGAATAATTTTACAAAACACTTTATACCAACTGTAGAATCCCATGGTTTTGTTAGTAAATATAGATGTATCATTAGAAATCAATTTCATTAATAATTAATTAAACTTATTCGGGAAATATTAACAGATGTAGTAACAAAGGATTTTCGTAACCCAGTGTAAAGTAACGCATGAAAAATTCATAGCTAATACAAAATAATGTTAAAGTAAATTAACTTCGAAAACTCCTCTGTTATTACATAGCCAAAGAACTTTGTTAATTTGAAAGATAATTAAATTATTCATCAATTATTAGCAATTAATTCTTTGGCTCGGCATCAATTTTATGATTCTATGTTTATGAACGCGCTTTGGATTATTAAAAAGTTAATTTTTCAAGTTTTTTCTTCGAACATTGTTTCGCTTTCAAGCGAGCGATGGAAGTCATAAAGTTGAGCCGACAAGGAACAGTCGATAGGTTAGTGATTGTGTATGTGGTCAGTGACACGTACCGTCTTCGTGCGTGCGGACGGTGACGGGGTAGGAGGCGGGCCCATCCCCCACGCTGGTGCCCGCCAGCACCCAGATGCGGTACTCAGTCCAGCGCCGCAGTTCGTCCAGTACGAACGACGTCTGGTTCAGTTTCACCACCATCGCCTCTGAATCCCCCCTCCCAGATTCCACGCAAAGCAGCTTGTAGTAAGCGATCCGGCCGTTGGCTCGCTCGGCGGGCGGCGGTTGCCAAGACACGCGCACGGCGGTGGGCGACACCGCCACCGCCGTCACATTCATCGGGGGCGCGCCGGGAACTAGACAAGCTCGACTTGAGACGGACGGCCCCGGCCCCGGACCGGGACCGAGCCGCCCACCTGCAACTCAAAGGACGCGCGACCTCGGCCGCGCGTCGCGTTATACCCGACATACAGCCGACCTATCCGACGCAATCACTGAATGCGATTCAAATAAAAATAAAATGTGCCCAAAATAAAATGAAATAATAAAAACGACATCAGTCGTGAACATAACGAGCATGCACATCTGTTAGTGTGGTGTAAATGTAGGATCCGCTCGCCCATACATCTCTACGTCCCATCCGTCACACTTCCCCTGTTGGAAGAAAACTGTGATGATTATGTTCCAGCTCACGACGCGGAGAACACTACTTCTTATCTCGGTGATAGATGACGTGGCAGATCGAGACAATCTGATTGATGGAGCCCGATGAATATAATGACAGTGAGCCAAGATTGACAAATGTCGTCCGCGTCGTCAGCGTTTGAATAAAAAAATGTCAGTCGAGGCGTTAACCTCGGATTTAAAAGTCTGTCCTACGAACAACATAAAGCTACTACTAAGGTACCGTGTACGCTTTCAATGAAGCAGGTCGGAACGACAGTTCGTTGAGCCGCGCAATCAAGTTACGGCGTACACTTTACCGTTTCGACAAAGTTACGATTACAAAACACATATTGTGATATAAAACTTGGTGCTTGTGCTGTATTACTGGCAGCGTGCCGGGCAGGTGCTCTTATGTGAAATATTACATTAGGAGTTACCTGGAATAACCACAATAGGTTCACTCTCTCATATTCTCAAAGCGATGATTGGGAAGGAGCCACTTTGTGAATTTGCACAAATAAGCTAAATATTCACAACTTTTTGGAACACGGACACAAGGAAGCGTTTTCCAGGGATCGTTTTAGGAAGCGTTATATTGCTTGAAAGCGAGGTACATTGAAACGATACATGTAGCATTTGTAGCAGTTAAATATAAAGTTATGGACACATGGCTCGTTCCCTCTCACCCTATCTACACTCACTCTCCACGAGACGTCACTCCAAGTGTGCGTGGTGGTGACATACCATATTGCTTGGTCCGCACCGCGATGGGCGGCGTGGTGGCGCCCTCCCCGCGCTGCGACCGCGCCGCCAGCCAGATGTAGTACAGCGTGTTGGGGTACAGGCCGTTCAGAGTATATGTTTCTGTTATTGGGATCCGCCTGAGAGGAGTTGTATGTTAGTTGATGTCCTTAGTTGAGAAGCTGACCAAAATCAATTAATTGTCCGCTATTATATTGTAAAATCGAACTTGTTAATAACAATTTGGTCTATACAGAAAACTTCAAGAAGGACCTGACGAAACTTTTGAATTAGTTTCGCTCTAAGTTATTCGATGTTTAAAATCATAGTACAAGATCTATTTCAAAACAAAAACGTCTTAAAACTAAAGAATGAATGATAGCAAACTTTACTTAAAACTAAGCCTATTCCATACATTACCCAATACTTCTATGACCACAACTTACTTCCTATGATGTTCCTTGGCATAAGTGTCGTTCCAGTACAGCTCGTAAGACACGATGTTGTCTCCAGCATGAGCTGGCCTCCTCCACGAGAGAGTCACCGAGGTTTCTCCTGCTTCCACGGCCACTAAGTTCGAAGGTTGCGATGGGACTCCTGTTGATGAAATTGGTTAATGTCAATTTTACTGTTCACGTATTAAATAGTAGTGTTTTGTTTTGGTGTGGAGGTCTCCTTAGGTATGGCGGGAATTTATGATAGTGCCTGTCTGCTCTTCTTTCTTTTTTCATTTGTTTTATTTAAAAAAGCGTTGCCCCACATTAGGATCTTCTCCTGTGTCGTGGGTGCGTTTACAAATATACAAGTTCACATACTCATGACACCCAGATCCGAAACAACAATTTGTGGATCACACAAAGAGATTGGACGTATTTATCAGCCACTCTAGAAATTAAGACGAACCAAAATGTTTAGATTGATGAAGACTTTTAACATTACCTCATTCTCAGTCGATATCCTAGATTGAGGAATCCAGAGAATTTAGATTGAGGTTATCAATTTTACAGATGAATACCTAATGCTTTTATCCTTAGCTATTTAGATATCTATAAAATGATATAATATGTGTGCTACATATATTGAGTGTACGTTATATCTCACCTTGCTGGGTCTTGACTTGTACGGGCGCAGACATGGGTCCAGGGCCCACGGACGTGAAGGCCTGCACTCGTATTGTGTAGACAGTGTGAGGTGTCAACTCACTGATGGTGGTCAGGTGACTGTTGTCCATCTGTAAGTAACGGGATGTGTTAGTGATGGTTATGAAGTTATTACCAGGTGTTTTTATATTTGATGGGCCGACGTTTGACCTATCTCGCCTGGAGGTAAGCGATGATGCCGTCTACGATGGAGCACGTCGTCTCATAAGCGACCTATTCACTTGGGCCTTGAAGACACCCAGGTTATACCCTTTAGAGAATACAGACTCTGGCAAAGAATTCCACTCATAAGCAGTACGCACACGGAAGGTTACTAAAGTGAAGAATACGTTTGATCGTGAATCAAATCATGTTATGACTATTCAGAATTTAACTATAATATTTACAGGCAGTTGATAAATATTGTATGACAAAATAGAAAAAAATTGAAGTGTTACCTTATAAATTTGAAAATAACTTTTTTATAATGTATTCGATTTTTACATGAATAGCAAGCTCTATGCCTTTTGTAATCTAAGGATAGGTTTCAATGCCGCGGAAGGCCTAACGGGTTGTCGGGGCTCCAGCTCGAAGAGTAGGAGTAGGTACGGGGTGGTTTTTAGTCAGTAAGAGTCTGACATTTCCTCTCGCCTAACCCAAGGCGGGAGATGTCAATGGACGATTTCATACATCAAAAAAAATATAAATAAAATTACTCGTGTTAGTCGAAATAAAATTTCTAAAGTATTATAACTTACCATTTGAGAGTGCCAAGACTGCATTGATTGCGATGGATCCGTAGTGTAGTAAATTTTGTAGCCCTGTACAGAAAGATAATTAATTGTTTAAAATTGTACAAAGATAATTAGATAAAGCCAAACGTTAATCTAGTATAGATATCAGAAATTACTCTCATTGGTATAAAGTAATTATTTTATAATAATTATTAAAAAAAATGCCTCACTTTTTGACTTTATACATAATTTCTAATTATAATTTAGAAATTGCCAATCCGCATTGAGCAAGCGTGGTGATTAATGCTCAAACCTTCTCCGTGTGGGAAGAGACCTTGGTCTGCAGTGGCCACTTATAGGCTATTGATGTTAATGATTAAATAAATAAAGAATAATAAAGAAAATAATTGTAAGATTGTATCTATCAAACTATCTACGACAAAATTTGGTAAACCCTTTCCGTACCAAAATCTCAAAACAAATAACAATCACATAAAATTAAATTGCGTTTGAGCATTCAACCGTCTCTGATATCACTTCTCTACTTCTAAAACACTTGCGCTTTCATCAAAGCCGAATCCACAAGATCCAGGCACTTATACCCAGCAAACTTCGGGATAAGGCGATCAAATCTTGCAATCTAATTTGGGCAGAAACTACATTTAGAATTAGTTATTCCGTTACCGTAACTTGTCCGTTCGGCGTCTCTGGTTCGTCCCATTGTATCACCATTGTGCTAGAACTTAGAGGCCGAACTTGCACATTCCTTGGCGCTGAACCCGGTTCTACGAAAAAAAAAATCAAATCAGTGATGCGACATTTAGTAACTTTTCAACCCACATTAGTCGATTATTGAATTTTTGTTAACCACTTTCGCATGCGTGTTTTTAAAATAAGAATGGAATTGATGCTGGCTGTTTTCCATTTTTGAATATCACTTACAGCTTACTGTCTATCAAAATGCAAATCTAATCAGAAAAACATTGAGAACGTTTTATTATTTAAAAATGAGAGCGAGCCGAATTCGTTCAATTATTTATTTATACGAACTCAGGTAACTTAATTCTCGTAGCAGTTTAATATTAAAGCAGCAAGAGTTGTTTCAGACGTGTATGTAATATTCTTCAAATCTAATAAAAAGATAGAATACATTTTCACCAAAAAGTTCTCATTTCAAAATCTTATTGATATTGAAATGATATTGACAGGAATAAATAATACAAAATAACTTTTTTTTAGAATGGTAATATTCAAAATCAACTAAAAATAAGCGAAATTATTACAATATAAAAAGGATTTGAGTACGAATGTAAAGCTACAACCTCTTTTAACAGACGTTAATACAATTATAGAGGAAGAGGATACCATTCTTGTTACATGAACCGTTCAACATAATGCCTGTCTGACTCCTACAGTTGTTTAGTACAAATACTATCAAACACCCTACCGCCATTACGTCAGACGCAATAACACGTAAACATCCCAATGTTAAATTAAAAAGCGTCTCGACTCATCTCAATTATGAACAAAATGAAAATAAAAATAATAGGACAATAACCGTCGGGGGCACAATGCCCGTCTTAATAGGATTTGTAATCGCAGCCTCTAACACGAAAAACGGGGCGTCACTCAATGAAAAAATCTCTTTTCTGTTTATAATACTCGCGAAGGGCAAAACAATAAAAGTTTAGGGACTGTGCAATATTAAAACGCCATAATCTTGTTTGGGTCCAGGATCCGGGTCGTCGACGTCAGCCCAAACTTTTCCTTTATTAGAAATGTAAAGAATATCAAAAGATCTGTTGGTAATTCTATATACCAACGTTTTCATTACTAATTCATCCAAGTTTTTATTTTGTCTGTTTTTTGACATCGCGCTATGGGGACGTGGGCGAGGTTTCATGACTCAAATTTAATATATTTCGTTGGGGAAATTAGATATGATGGTTTAACATTTACGAAGCGAGAAACGTTCGGGACGAGGATAAAGAAATGAAATTCCACCACAGGGTAATTGTACGGTAAATATTTAATATGTAATTGAGGTGAACGAGCAGTCACACCAATTTTGTAACATATCGCGAACAAATACAATAAACATGCAAATTATTAACAGATTAACCTTTTGTGCAAGCGATATATTAGCACCCAGTCGATGATTAAACATTACTAGACATTACATCACTAGACCACCTAAATATCATGCTATCAACTCCCAGATTTTAGAAGGTTTAGATGTAGACCCACATACAACGCCTTTAGGTAATGACTTACGAAAATTCATAGTAGTATACTTACTGGCACCTCCATACAAGGAATCCACTGGAAGAGAGCAAGGAAACAAATAATATAATTAGTAAATCGAAGATCTGTAAACGGGAAAACACATCACACAGAGTGCCGCAGAGTAAGATTAAAACATGTGACATAAACTGACCGCTTGTCTGACCCTAACATCGATAAAAACGAAATGGTGCATGATTAAACGAACGAAAAACATTACGCTCTACATCTACGTACTAAGAACAAAATCAAATGTGCAAATAAAATAAAAGACTATGATAATTCAGAAGCGAACTTACATGAAGCATCGGCGAATGTCGTACGTCGTTTATACGCGTAGGCATGAAAAGACGATCAAAGAAAATACCTTAAAAAACTGAGCGCAAGGAACTTAAAAACAGAAATCTATTTACCCAATTTAAAAGCAAGACAAAATATAATTTTAGACTTGACAAAATTGAAAGCGAGACAAGAGTAAATGAAATTATGACAAGCGTATGGGTAAATGCGTAGAAATGATAATTTTTCATCGTCTATTGTAAATTGGGATTATTAAAGAAGATGGAGTTGTTAAGGTGATTTATAAATCTCGTTCGTTATAAGTAACTGTAGAAGAGATGATGATCTCCAGGGGAGGGGCCCGATAGAACATGTTATTGATGGTGTTCATTTTATCAGAAGAGTTCTGACTTTCTTGTGTAACATTACACTCTGTGACCATTATAGGAACCATTTGTTTTCTTTTTTTATTGCCTCTTTCTTTAGCGAAGTTAATATTGTAAGTAGATTAGTCATAATCTACTATTAAAAATGCTACATAATTCTGCTTTTTAAGTCGTTATAAATATGTGAAAAAAGGAGTTATTTTTTAGTTTTATTTTACACTTTTCCACCAACTACCTACATATTAGTTGCACACTAAAAATTACTCAAAACGTTTCTAAAGGCCGAAGAAGTTACATAGAAACGCATATCAACAGATTGTCGACTTTATCACAAAACGATAAAGACGAGAATCTATTGAGGTATAGTAGGTTGATCTGTTGGTAACTCAAATAAGTCAGTTTAAACTAGTACATACCAGTTTCTCCGGTGGTGATGACGGCCGGCGCTGAAGGTGGCCCTCTACCGATGTTGTTGACCGCAATCACGTACATTTCATACTCCGTGTATGGCGATAGATTCGTTACTGAGTAATACTGAGTGATGACCCCTGAGATCTCGCTGAATGCCTGTTTTTGGAAGATAAGTAATTATAACATTACGCCTTTTATCCCCTAAGAGGTAGGCAGAGGTACACATTACGGCAATTAATGCCACTGTACTGTAACACCCACTTTCCACTATTTATATTATGAGTCCCATGTAATAGGGGGTAAGCCTATTGCCATACACCGGGCACTACTAATTTTTTTTTAAAACCCCGTTATACTATGCTCGACCCAGGAATCGAACCCGAGACCCATTGCCCGGCAGTCGTACTTGCGACCACTCGGCCGACGAAGCAGTCAGATCAATAATTATGTAGGGTGTTAAAATAGCTATGGTTTGGTAAAACGGCAGAATCTTTTGTTATTGACATCAACCTATTTGGTCCCTGATTACCAGAGAGAATATTGAATTTAAGTTTCGTTTTGTTTGATAACTTAGAGATCTTGATTCCCAACTCACTGTTGGATTGCTTCTATTAGTAATCTCTTTTGTCTAGTATCGATAGCGTAATTAAACAGTTTTGTAGATAGTTATAGCGATAGATTGTTGATGTTTTTTTTTTTTTTTTTTTTAAGGGGGGAAAATCATCGAATGACTGCCCCCGCCTGGGTGAGGCGGGAGGGAGTGTCAGACTCTTACTGACTAAAAACCACCCCGTTCCTTCTCCTGCACGTCGAGCCGGAGCCCCGGTTACCCGTTAGGTTCTCCGCGATAGATTGTTGATGTTTAGTGTTGCACAGACGTGTCCTTTCGCGTCCGCTTACCATCAGGCAGGCTGTAAACTTTGTTTTATTTTTTTTCTTCGTTGGCAACCGAGTCTCCAATACGATGTTGTCGACTATACTGCCAGTGTCGGGTGGAATAAACCAATATAGAAAAAAAACAATCTGTCATTTCATTTTGACGTCTCACCTGGTTAGCATATTTCGGTTTATATTGAATGACGTAGTACTGTGGTTCCTCCGGCCCGCTGTAGGTCCACGTGAGCCGGACTGTCGTAGCTGTGATCTCGGAGGGACGCACTTCAGTCGGAGGCCCGGGTAGCGCTGGTAAAAGAAACATTATTAGAACATCACATAACATAACATCACGCCTTTTATCCTCGAAGGTGTAGGCAGAGGTGCACTTTATACCACTGTACAATACAATGTAACACCCACTTTTCACTATTTTTTTTTCAAACATTACCCCACATTAGGATTTTCTCCTGTGTCGTGGGTGCGTTTACAAACATACAAGTTCACATACACAATGACACCCAGATCACGAAACAACAATTTATGGATCACACAAAGTGTTGTTCGGTGCGGGAATCGAACCCGCGACACGTTGCGCGGCAGTCGGTTGCCCAGCCACCGCACCAACCGATTTATGTTATGAGTCCCATGTAATAGAGACAATATTAGAACATAATTTAAATATAACATTAATGATGAGTGATATGGGGTAAGCTTATTGCCACACGCCGAAATAATATTAAAAATAATAGTTGAGGTTAAAATTTTCTGTAATTAAAGCCAAACGCCACTTTAGCGCTTGTCTACAGAGAGAGTATAAAACTAAACGTATGGGGATGACACTGACAAATGTCAAAATTTACTTCAATTCCATATAATTTGGTTTTCTATTCTACACGTAGACAAGCGCTAAATGGCATTTGGATACAGCTGCAGGTAACGATCTATCTACTGACATAAGACCAAGCGTTAGTTGATAAATGTATCTAAAGCTCAGGACTCCCAAACAATCATAACAATAACGATTAAACTTGCATAAAGTATAATTGTCACATTAATATTGGATACGAATTAATCGACGTTTAATTGTTTCGCTTTAGATAATACGCTAAAATATTAACGTTTGTGGTAAGTACAATCGGCAAAATGTACGCGTGTACCACTAACTCCATGGCTTTCATTTAGGCGTGTTATGCGATAAAGCTGGAGATACACGAACTGGACATTAATTAGTATTAATTATAATGCTCATCGTTTTACGCTAATATATCTTCATTAGGACTAATGTACAGTTATGATGTTAATTTTGTGCTAAATATTTCTTTGCCTACCCCTTCGGGGATAAAACGCGTGATGATATGCATGCTTTATTTATGCATATTTCTTTTGGTAGCTTGTGTGTTCTAAGACGAACCATTTCTTCCATTGAATCTTTTAATTTCGTAATTCTCTGTAGTAAAACATAGAATTCAGACTCTATGGTAATAATAATAAGAGTACAGTTATTATTTATTTACGACAGAAAGACGTACATCGTTGCAAACAGATTTTAAAACACACTAAACGTCCTGATGTCCAGTAATTTAAATAGGCATAATTGTTTTTGTTTGTCTATTCATGCGCGTGTCATGTTTATGGGTAGTATGAAGATTTTGTATATATTTACGTTGCAGATATGTATCGATTTACCTACAATTTACATTTCCTGGAAAATTATAATTAGTAGCGTGAGCCAGGTATAACAATAATAGTTTACTGTAGCCAATATTTACTAACGTTTTGAATTTCTCTTTACCGTATATTTATAGGATTAATACCCGTATGTTTAGTATATTAAAACCTTTTTATTGATTTGGAGCTAATTTAAAGTTGGTACGTAAATATCACATGACTGTTTACGTTTATTTCAAATCATGCTTTGATATTTGCAATAATTCTTTCATAATATATACGTTTAAAAACAACGACTTCAACCCCCTCTGTTTTATAGTCGGTTGATTAATGTACCTAGTAAAACCTGATCCTACGCTAAGAGTTATAAACTCTTTTCTGGAAACAACATTTAGGTCAACCAGTCAACCGGTTCAGCCAATCGTGAGATAACCGCATACAAATATACATACATACACCTGTATGTGTAAAAATCAAGGATGTTCTCATTTAGAGGTCTAATTTCTTTTAATTTTTTTTAATCCTTTTTTTTTTAAGTCTGTATAGATTTTTTACTACTTTTCAAATAATTGAAAACGGCATTCGATATTCCAATCACCAACCAAACGATTTCCCATTTAACATTTCTGTAACTGAAAATGAGAAGTCGACACAAGCACGTCAGTTCCTAGTATACTCTAATTAATCCGAGCAATTACCCGCGACTACGAGTCGAGTAGATGAGTGACTGAATCAAATTACACTCATAATTTCTTGGGATAACTGTTGCAAATTTATGGTAATAACTTCGGCGAGGTGGAAAGAGGGATTTACGAAAATCAATTTGATAAATTGCGGCAAGGCGAGAAGACATCCATTATGAATTAGTGTTATAATTCATAATTGAAAGGGTTGGAAAGTTGCGCGAGGCCCGGGAGACAAACGAATGTCAGCTTGATTAATGATTAATTATTGTAACTCGAAGCAACGTTTTCTCAATTTAATTTTGTGAAGGATTACGTTGTTCTGTGCGTTTAGTGTTCGTCAGGTCGTGAGGAGTCTTTAAAACTGTCGATAAGATGCATCGACAGAAACAATCTCATATAAAATGCGCCAATCATATAAGAGATGTTCTACTTACATTGCACTTTGACCTCAGCCACAGCTTCGATAACACCAAGTACACTAGCAGCCTCACACGTGTAGTTCGCAGATTCCCTGATGTCTTCTAACTTGAGGGTGTTCAGACCAAGTGGCGGGTTATCCTCCGGCGTCAACCATTTCGTCAAACCTGTCATAAATTTCAATTAATTACCATAAACATACCAATTTTAGTTTATGATTAAGGATTCCCGGATTTTCATATAAATTAAAAAAAATAATGACTTACTTTTCATAAGTATATAGATTTACCTTTTCTCCATTTAACAGTGGGCATGGGTGATCCGAAGGCAACGCACTTCAGGGTCAGGTTTCCTCCCAGCATCACCTCTGACTTTGGTGGTGGCGGGATCGAGAACTGCGGGGCTACACGTCTCACTGCGAACAATGAGAAGAACATGTATAAGTTTATTATAGGTACTTTAAGTAAAGACAACAATCTCTTGTCTTTTTAGGACGATTAAAAACGTCGACAGTTCCAACTAGTACAATAAAATTATAGTTATATACAATCGATTACAATGAAAATCAAATTGATAAAGTCAGGTATACATAAAACTATTTATACTGGTCACAAGGACAAACCGCGATTGTACTTAACCTAAAACATCTCTTCGACGCTACCTTAATGACGTCATGAACCCGTCACTCCTGCATTACCGGTCCATAATTAGTAAGCGGTGAGAGGGAGTCACGTGAGAAATAATTGCACTACTTCAGACAACCAATGAGCGTCACTAACAACGTTCACTCATTACCATTAAGTATTATGGCGGCTCATTCCGGGAGTGAGATGTGTTCACATAGATGGCGTACGTGTTTGGCTTTGAAACTCTATGGTTAGTTAGTTGACAGTTTTATAATGGAGGGAAACTAAACGTCAAATTCAATTTATGAATATTTTAATACAAAGAAGTCGTAAATTTTTATAATCGTGAGACATAAACTAAAAAACGCGGGTTAGGGTAGGCTGCGTGACATCACCGCGACCACACAAGCTGCTCATGAGGAAGAGGCCCTTTGTAGCTCGTAGAGCTTTTCACAATATATGCAACTGAATATCCCGCGATTTTTAGTAAATTATTTTATATTAATAAATGATAAATACATGAGTTTAAATTGCCATAAGATGTTTTATTTTGCCACTGTTGTGTGCTAATGAAGGTCAAGCCACAATAAAAAGCTATAGGTTATATTTGACATCACATTTCATCATTGAAAAATAGACATATACATAAATACTTATTAAGTATTTACTGTAAGCCAAAAGTCACCTATTTACAAACAACCAAAACCCTTCAACGATCCTTAGCGGCAATTACAGTCAATTACCTTTACATTGCGGGCTCTAATCGGTGGCAGAAGTAATGATTCGGGTCGGGACGAGCAATACCTCACTTACATTGCGAAGTCAACGCATACGATGTCATTACCCTGATTCACTCTGTTGAACTTTAGTAGGTAGTCAGTGTGAGAATTAGCTTGCAAAATGTTTGTTAGGAATGGTTTTTGTTAATTCGCGTAGCAAGAGGTTAATGTGGGGGATTTTCGAAGCTATTTGGTGCTGGCTGACGGTGATTTAGTCAATGTTTGGAAATCACGTCATTTTGTGGTGACTTCACTACATAGTATTAAAAACAAAGTCGTTTTCTCTGTCCCTATGTCCCTTTGTATGCTTAAATCTTTGAAACTACGCAACGGATTTTTATGCGGTTTTTTAATACATAGAGTGATTTAAGAGGAAGGTTTATATGTATAATACATGCATATTGCACCCGTGCGAAGCCGAGGCGGATCGCTAGTTTTCAATAAAAGTATGTAAATACCTAGACAGCAGAAGTTAATGTTTTGGTGTTGTAGCATTTAAACATAGCTAGAAACTGTATTGAGTTACTACATAACTCAATAACATTATTTACAACAAAAAGAGAATTTTCGTTTGTCACACTGACAGCAAGAGTAGACCTTAACTTCTGCCGTTCAATAAATTTGTTTAATTGCACGGTTGGCGCGCAGAGTGTAGCGGGTTCGATTCCCGCACGGAGCAGCGCTTTGTGTGATCCACAAATTGTTGTTCCGGGTCTGGGTGTCATGTGTATGTGAACTTGTATGTTTGTAAACGCACCCACGACACAAGAGAAAATCGTAATGTGGGGTAACGTTTTATTAAAAAAAAAAAATTTATTCGTGAGTCAACCAAGTCATATTATCAATACACAGTTTAAAACAAAGTCGCTATCCACCGTCTGTCTATCCCTATGTATGCTTAGATATTTAAAACTACGCAACGGATTTTGATGCTGTTTTTTTTAATAGATACAGTGATTCTTAAGGAAGATTTATATGTATAATACATGCATATTGCACCCGTGCGAAGCCGGGGCAGGTCGCTAGTGTTAAATATTATGTACATAAGTTGTTCCACGAACAAACTGTATAGAGAGAGAGTTATTTATATCTTAATAAGCACTTTCGAATAAAAACATCAACGGTAAAATAATGTTGATGTGTCTATTTACAGGTACTAAGGAAGGCCATTTTGTCCTTGAGGATAGGATTAAATTTTCCGCCTTTTAGAAAAAGGTGGGATAAGTAAAGTACTTTGGCATATCCTTTTTCTATTTATAGCTAGGTATTTATAAGCTTCAAAATAATGAGTGGATTGGAAAGTAATTATAGTAACATAATATATAGAATAGACTGCCTCGGTGGCCGGTGGTTGCATGTGCGACTGCTGGGCAAAGGGTGCCAGCTTTGAATCCCTGATGGAACAAAGTATTATTCGGTTTGTAAAAAAAATCTCAGCAGTAGTACGAAGTCTGGAATTCTGCCCGGTATATGGCAATAGGCTCACCTCCTAATATATGGGACAAATCCTAAAAAGTGGGCGTTACATTGAACAGTGGCATTAAGTGCCGTAATGTGCACCTCTGTCTCGGGGATAAAATGCGTTATGTGTAGAATAGAACTTCGAATTCGATGTAATTTAGAATTCGGGCCGTGGGAGCCGCCGAGTCAACAACTCCCGAGGATACTTTGGGGAGGAGTGAAACATATGTCGAGAGTTGTTCGAATGGTTTGTTGCGTGTCGTGTGTGTGTGCGTGTGTGTGTCTGAGGCCAGTGCTGTATACTGCATGCTGCAAATTCATTTCTTCAGTAGAATAAAAACTAAATATTTTCCCAGTAGTGTTTCCCAATTAGTAATAGTGACATAACATAAAATAAATAAAACATCCAGCCTTTTAATCCCAGTTTTTTTTTTTTAAACGTTGCCCCACACTAGGATTTTCTCCTGTGTCGTGGGTGCGTTTACAAACATACAATATCACATACACATGACACCCAGACCCGAAATAACAATTTGTGGATCACACAAAGTGTTGTTCCATGCGGGAATCGAACCCGCGACACGTTGCACGGCAGCCGGTTGCCCAGCCACCGCACCAACCGTGCAGTCGCGCAGCAGCAGATTAGACACGTGTACCAAAATACAATGCAACTGCAACTTTTCATCATGTCCCAAACCGTTCATTACGTACTTGGTACTTTATAGACGGTTCTTCATTCAATTCATTTCAAATTCAAATTCACTAAGAAATTTTCGAAAAACAAACTGAAAATGACCTAATAATATTTTGGTTGACCAAAATCTAACCCCGAACCCCTTACTCGACTAACTAACTAGGTAGGTAGTATGTGTTGTATCATTTTTTAAATAATCTAATGACCCAATCAGGTCAAACGTCATATTGTAATCAAAAACCAATACTCTCAATTCTCAAATCGATCAGAATCATGGCTCTCTAGTTCATTTAACTTGGGCAAGTGTTGAGCCGAGGTGCTATCCATTCCCAGTATTTCCGAGTACGTCTCTATCAAGTTAATTTGTGAAACGAACGACCAATTTCTTGACTATCTTCCGACCGATTCTGTTACCCTAGTACCTCAAGCTGAATGTTTCAAACGATTTGTGCAACGGTAACCAAATTAATGTTTATTATTGTAAGTTTTTGTGTGACTGCATAATTCAATGTCATAAGGGATCAACAGAGAACAAAATATTTTATTTTGATGTTTATTTTAGACTCCGAGCCCTTAGGAAAAGGGTAAAAACACTATGTAAAGTGTAAAAACGTACCTATTATTATAAATGTTTTACAGTTGTTGTAAACTATACATACTTATTTATTTTTAGGAGTTTAAGAAGCCCGCTTCTCATGCATGATGGTCCGGGTTCGAAACCTACCAACAGCAAGTACCAATGCGACTTTTTCCGAGTTATATGTGCTTTCTAAAATTATTGAGACACCACTGACAAACGGTGAAAGAAAACATCGTGAGGAAACCTAAGCTCATAATTTCTAATTATAAGTTTGAAATCGTGAACCCGCAAGCAAGAGTGGTGATTAATGCTCAAACCTCCGTGTGAGGCCTTTGGTCAGCAGTAATCACTTATAGGCTGTAGATGTTTATAAAACCTGTGAGTTTACAAAAAATATATTCCATTGTTCTACTTAAAAGGAGCGAGATATTTAGCAAATTATTGTATTACGGCTTACAGTGTCCAAGTTGTCAAGGAGCATTAAATACGCGGACAAATTTTCAAAATGACCGCAGGTGGACGATTAAGCGCTTATTATTAACTTACCCTACTTGTATTTGGTTTAGTAATATTCAAAATATGATTGATTTGAGTAAACGAAGTAAAAGAAATTAGTCATTGAGAATAAAGTAGGTATTTAAGTATTAATCACTACATAGTACAAAACAAAGTCGCTATCCACCGTCTGTCTGTCCCTATATATGCTTAGATCTTTAAAACTACGCAACGGATTTTGATGCTGTTTTTTTTCTAATAGATACAATGATTCTTAAGGAAGGTTTATAATATATGTATAATACATGCATGCATATTGCACCCGTGCGAAGCCGGGGCAGGTCGCTAGTAGATTATAAACAATATCACTATCACAGTCATCATTATCATCGTGCAGCCTGTCAGAGTCTATAGTTCCTTTGCACTATGTTTATGAGAGGGTCACATGTTCATATACAATTTAAATATACGGGTAACGCAATTTCAATATTTTTTCTTTGAAATTTGATAAAAATATGTTCACTAGGAAAATGGTATATTATTTTAGACGAACAAAGCCAGAATGAATCTAGTAATAAATGTCTCGAACTCTAATTTTATCACTATCAATTAATTTTTACGTTACTTTATCGATAGCGATAACAAAAATAATAATATTTCAGCGAAACCTTTTAACGAAAATACACTTTTAGTTGTTTTAATATTTAAAAAATGGCTATACAGAAGATATTTTAAATTTTAAAAAGGGCGTAGCGTAGTGGGAATAGGAATACCGTAATG